ATAGAATTACCCCAAACCACGACATAAGAAGACTCCTCAGTGACATTCACATCAATATGCTGAATCCAATTTGTAGGACCCAAATTCTTCCCCACTGAGGGGAATTGATGCAATTGAAATTACATACCAATTTCAAATTAGGAAAAATGGATGCTCCATTTCAAAAAAAAAAGGAGGATATAAAGGGGCTGGTTAGATCTTGATTTTATTTAATTAAATGTAGAACCATATAGGATTATGGCCTTACTTTTTCTTTTTCTTGTTTTTAGGGGTTTAATGGGTATATTTTAGCAGCATGGGTTTTCTATAGTCAATGTAGTTTCTGTAATTCTCAAATCTAAAAAAAAAAAACTTGTAGGCTTTTAACTTAGCATCTCTACTTGTTTTTTAACCTCCTTATTAGCAAACTTCTCTCTCTTAAAATTTTCTTCATTTTTATCCTTTTACCACTTTTTACGAACATAACTGATAAGATCCAAAATCAAAATGGTTTGTTACTATTTAATAATACAAACAATTTCACCTAATAGAAACATATGAAAAGAAAGTTAAGCACTTGATCAAATCAACAACTTGATGACAAATAGGGGAACTTCATTTCTATTTATCTTATCTATTGGTTCATTTTTTTTGGTGGGGTACATTGAATTTTGCTACGAATTACATTATATTTTAAACATTAGCTAAACCAACTTTAGGAAAATGATGCAGTGAAATACAAGTTCATTAATATTTTATACAATTGTACAGAACAACAATAAATCCGAGCTTTGAATTTTGTCCCCAAATTATTATAATCTGGAGTTGGATATACAAAGTAAAATATAAAAATAGTCATCCCTATTTCAACTAGATTATTGATCCAAAATTGGCAGTGGCATATTACATGGCTGCCAAAAGTCCATTAAGTAAATATTTGGAAGACAATATAAAGACGAAGGACAAATATAGGGGATGTAAAACTCAACCAACTAAAAGCTTTAATCGTTACAATATTTAGAGTAAGTTGGCAATTTCAGTAAGATAAAACTTAGAATTTGGTTGTAAGAGTTTGAGCTTGATGGTAAGGGTAGCTAAGTTAGAAATGAATGCCCAAAGTGTTGTCGTGTGAAGACTGGTGATGCAAAATATAAAAAGCTCAAGGAAAAATAAATTCAAAGAAATGGCGATATTTGAAAATTAGCATGATTTCAAAAAAAAACCAAAAGGAATCATTCATAATCATGTTTCTAGTATTATTAGAATCTTATTTCATGATTAGTTTATATTTTCTAGAATTTTTAGATCAAGGGTATTTAGGTAATTTTCATATTTGCTAACATGAGCTGCAAGGGTCGCCCATGGGTTATCTTGTGGGTCAAGTTATTTAATTGGGTTTTATTTATATTTATTATTTGGTCTTAAATTGGTTTTGAAAGTCAAAAGATATTTTAGTAGTTCCCTTTTTTAGTTCTAGTTTGTTTAGAAATTTTCTTAATAGAATTAATATTTTAAAGAATTTTTAGAGCTTTTAAAGTTTTTTTATGGATTGTGTGATGCAATGAAACCCCAGGTTTAATCCCTAATGAATTCTAGGAGTGATTCTAATGAAAATCATGGAAAGACGAAAAAGAACAAATCTGAAATTTCACATGAAACACATTTAAGGCATTAAGAATTAAAAATTTGAAATAATGTTGAGTCTTCATGTCATTATAGTAGGTTTTAGTAATTAAGGGTATAATGCTAATTCCAATAATTGTCGGACATAGGTTGGAGAGCTTCTATTTGCACACACCCATTACACTCTATGCACATCCTTCTCAATAAATAACTTGTTCGGAAGTAGCATTCCGAAAATAAACAACTCGTTCGGAAGTAGCATTCTGAAAATTATCATTTCTTTCGAGAGTAGAATTTCGAATTTTTTTCATTTTTTCGACATTCGACTTCCGAATGTGTTTATTTGAATTGTGTGTGATGTAAGTAATAGTAATTTCACTTGAGAATAAAACTATAATAAAAATAATCATCATTAAGTGTGTGCACAGAGTGGAATGGGTGTGTGCAAATAGAAGCTCCCCATAGGTTGTAAAGGTTGCCCATGGATTTTATTTTAGATCAAGTTATTAAATGGGTCATTATACATAGATTTTATTATGTCTAAAATAATCTTAATGGTCAAAAGTCCAAGTTTTCTATTTTGATATTGAAGTAGAATTAGAAGTTACTAAAGTTTCCTATTATGATTAAAGTAGAATTGGAGAATATTAGTAGTTGCTAAATATTTTTAGTTTCTAAATTTGAGTTATAGTCATTATAGAATTAAGAGTCTTTAACCTATAAACTAAGAAGCACGGACACGGATATGGATGTGGATGTGAATGTGGACACGGACACGGATACGGATGCAGACACGGGACACGACAATTTCAAAAAAATAAGGACACAGACACATCGGGAACACGGCAATAAAATATATTTTCATATTTTTTATTTACTATCTAGATTAATATTACATCCACAAACGATCAATATTAACAAAAAGTAACTTTAAAATTTTTTTTTTAAAGCACTTTTAAATTAACACTTATAGTTTATATCTTTTTTTTATAGATGATTTATTAAATATTTAAATCTAAGAAAAAAATAATAAACATTCAACATTCATCAAAAGCACTAAATAAAATGGGAGGAAAGACAACTTGGCACATCTTTAGTGTGTCCCTGAAGTGTCCCTGGCGAGTCCCCTGAAAATAAATTAATTAAATAACGGGACACACCATGTGGTGTATCCCATGCATGTCCCCAGAGTGTTCGCATGTCCCTGAAGTGTGCATGTGTCTGACACGGATAAGACACTTGTTTTGGATTGTCGGTGCTTCATAGCCTATAAATATATATGTAATCTCAATAATTCAATAGAAGAGTTAATATTATGAAAAATTGAGATTGTGTTTGTATGACTGTATATCCCTTGTGAGGGTGAAGCGCCGCTCTCTCTCTCTCTCTCTCTCTCTCTCTCTCTCTCTCCTATCTGGCAAGGTTCATAGTGCTTAGAACAGCCATCCTACAGCCCCTAAAACTTATGTTTTCATTCCCGAAACCCTACCCTTTTACAAACCCTTAAACTCATATATTTTTAATACTTTCGCAGCCACAAAATCCCACTAAATCCAGCCCTATAAGCCTATTGTTGTTGCTGCCAATATACTTATTCCGGGCTCACTTCTTGTGGGAAAGAAATCCCTACTAGTCCTACATTAGATTCCTAGACCTATATTCTCCTTTCCCTCTTTTATTTTCTGCACTTTTATCAGCCCAAAATATTTTTCATGGGTACTGTTCACAGCACCCAAAACAGTGCCAAAATTCAATTTTCCTGCTTATTACATTAAGCTCTTACCCTAATTCTTCATATACTAGTAAAAGCCCTAACCTTCCCATTACTTTTCAGCTTGAAATCACAATAAAAACCCACAAATCCAGCCTTACAGTTCTCACAGCACTGTCCCTAATTGTCCTACATCAACTGGCAAAGGAATGCCAGCATCGCACAAGTATTTTGCATAAGCATATTGCATTTAGCTTTAAGACACTTGGTTCTCGAATTGCAAAATTTGCCCAACATTGACCCTAGATTTTTCCTTTGATTTTTATGTGCTGAAACATATTGAAAACAAACAAAAATAACCAACTCAAGTACACTGAAGTGCACCCTAAAAGCCGCCAAAGTAGATGTCAAGAGGGTTCTGCAAAGATCTCATGCCTGAAGCCCTCTCAAGCAAAGGACTTCCTGCAGAACTACTGAGAGATCTGACCGAAGTGCACTGCAACTTGCAGACAAAAAATTGATGATCTTGTGAGTGTGCTTGAAGCCCACTCGAGCACTGGTACAAACTTTTGTCCAATTAGGTCTTAGATTCTGGAAAACCTATATAAAGTTATCTTAGGGTTTCTATTTGGTAAGACCATGACTTCTAACTTTTTTTTTATGAGAGAAAACCTTGTTTATTAGCAAGTTTTCAAAAGTTTTTGAAACCCATGTTCTTCATTCTATGAACTTGATTTTCATGTTGTATACATCACCTCAGAGAGTTCCAGATTAAGTGATTTCATAAAAACCAATACATCTTCGTTTAGCAAGTTTTGGTTGTTTGGGTAATGAGGTCGCGAGGTGCAGAGATTGGAGCAAAGAATTCCGTGGAGCTGTCAAATCAAGAGTTCTGAGGTGTTTAGACCCACAAGGAGTGCATAGCAAGTGAGGAGCTTTGCTGAAGTTGTAAGATTGGGTGTCTTCATGATTTTTCCTAACAAGTGTTTTCCATACAAATCATGGTCTCCTATTTTACTTTAATTTGGGCGGTTGCCATTATTGTGACTAACTACAATCATAATTGACTTAATAAATTAAGTGGCCATAGTTTAAATTGAACTAGATACATAAATAATACTTAGATTTTGGCCTATTCACCCCCCTCTAGATTATGCTACATAGATTTGACTACTGGTGTCTGGTGTGGCATGTGTCCAAGTGTCGGATTCATCTAATTCTCATATACAAGGACAACAGGACCTGTATCAATTTAATATTTTTCTAAATATTTCTTTTATTTTTTAGGGTGAAATGATATTTACAAATTAATGTAAATCATGTTGGGTGTGGGCATGCATGTCTAATTAGACTCCTTGGACACATCTCATACCCTTGCCCAAGTGTCTAGTGTCTGGCAAGAGTGCTTCACACATTTACAGGAGTCCAAGTAACATACTACACAATTTCATTATGAAAGATGCAATCCAACCAACCGTAGAAGAGGGTGAGAGAAGGGAATCAATACAAGAAACCAACTATTAGGAACCAATAAATTCTTTAATTTATATCCAATGACAATACCAAGCAGAAATAGAAAATAACAACAAAGCATAAATGAATCTGCAAGACTGAACAGAACAGACAGGAAGAGAGAGGTACCTGAAAGTAAAGAAAGAAATGGAAACAGGAAAGAAAGAAAACTCACGTATAATGTACAATTCAATTTTCCAATTGTATACTGGTCGACTCAAATGAGGAGTCCTCACTGTAGGATCACCATAAGTTATCTGTAAATCACAATTTGGCAACATATCTATCGATGGCTTGCAGAACAAAGGGAGAAAATTATGGCAGGTAAAAAGCTTGGTGTTCAAGTATATGATTACCAGCATATAGATTCCTCCAGGTTTAAGAAGCCTACAAGCAGAAAGTAATCGTTCTTAATGAATAAGAATACCATTATGAAAAAAAAATAAAAAGATATATTGTAATTTATAAAAATATGCAATCAATTGATTCTATCAGATCCATTCTTCAGTAGTACATAGGCTCCGGCTTCTTCCTCTACCCGAGCCACTACTTGTGTGTGTAATTCATGGCAGTTTTTTATTATGGAGCTATGTGACCATTTAGTTTCTACAACGAATTGCAATCAACAAATAACTTTAGAAGCTCATCAATCACACAACCTGCTCACTTCCCCCAGCATTTGAGCAGCACTAATTGGAGCATCGGTACCGCACTTAAAAGTCAAAAGCATATGTAAAAGATTAGAACGTGCAAACAATAGTCCGAAGATAACTAAAAGAAACAATTGGAAAACACAACTTACCATCAATGAATCAAGAGTTCCTACAATGGATTCCGGTGGACCAAGCATGCAAAGAGTGAAAAGTATCATTAACCCAACGTAGTTTAAAAAAAATTGCAAAATTTGACAAAACATGTAATAGAGAGACTCCTGCATACCTTTATCAATGACACCATCAAATGATTCATCTGGGAAAAAGCTCATATCCCTAGCATCCATTTGCATGTCTGTTGACTCTTATAAGGAAAACACACTAATAAATGTGTTTGCTCAACAAAACACAACACACGATATCCTAAAATGAATAAACCTTCATAGGATACATTTCAGCTGTGGAATGTGCTCATACTTCCTTCTCATCATTTCAATAGCCACCGATGAAATGTCAATATTCATTATGTCTTCATACCCATCCTTAACCATATCCTCTGACATAACTGCAAAAGCATAGCACGAAGCTCATGGAAAAAGTACAACAACGACACCACAAATGCTACATGTGTTTTTAATATCATTCAGAAATAAACATCATCCGTAGTTGTGAAGAAAGGCATTGTGAATTTGTGATTATTGTCAAAGACAAGATGCCAATTTGAGGAAAGAATGATTATTCTTAATAGATTGATTTGTTTTAAAAGATTAGTCACCTTAGTTCTCCATCTAATGGCCCACCAAAACACACTAGCATATCCAAAACTGAGAATTCTGCAAGATTACTTAAAATATAACTAGAACCTTAACAAGTTTAATTAATGTACTCTAATTCATTTATAAATTTAGAGATCCTCTAAATAAACAGAATGATGCTTAGCATAATAAAACATACAAAAAAATACATAATTATTTTCTTCTATATAGGGAACCTGTTTACCTACCTGTAAGCTAACAGTTCACTGATAAACAAAATGACTGAAAGTCCCTTACTACCGCTTACATGTGTCCAACCATTAGAAGAAATGCATAAAATGTAATTTAAACTTCAAACCTGATTCAAATGGTTATCTCTCTCTCTCTCTCTAAAACTTCGAACTTGATTGGTGCTCGTTGTGGGCTCGAGTACTCTATTGCCCATGCACGGTCGTGCTACCAGCCACCCTGAGCTCCAACCATGGCATCATTAATTTTGGTCGTAAATTTTCCAGGGCCTGCCACTTGACATGCACTCAAACCGCCTTTGCTTTAGGTGCTCACAATGCGCTTCAGAGCCGGGAAAATCCCCATTTAGATTTGTTTCATGTTACCATTACTTCATCATATATAAAGAGCTGTTAGTGTGATTAGCGCAAAGCCCTGAACATTAGCAGCCATAACAGAGTACCTTGAGTATTTTTTATCTTTGCATCCATAGTTCAAGAAGCTCTCTTGTTTTCTTCAATATAGTGTCATATAATTGAGTGAGTTTGCATTACATGACCAGATTGAGCCGTTTACATAAAAACACCTCACTCTGCCCTGCATCATTCTGACAACCTGTGGCCATTAGGTAAATGGAACTGTTTCTGAACAGAGATCAAGACAAGGATCTTCATGGTGGACTAATGAATCAAAGGAAATTGTCTGGCCCAGAGCCACATAAGAGTGAAGATCAAGCTCATGGAGCTTTGAAGGAGGATTTCAGAGTTAGGTGAACTAGGTAACGTTGCAATTTCTTTCTTCTAAGTCCGTCATTGTTTGATTTTTGTAGATTTGTTTGGGTTGTTGAGATCGTTGTTTTTGTCCTGACAGTTTCCCTGGGGTTTTCCATGTAAAATCATTGTGTCGTTATTCTTGTATTTATTATCATCAGCATTCCTCAAATTGAAATTGATAATGGGTTGGTAATTTATCATATTTTTCAGTTCGGCCTATTCACCCCTATAGGTGTAAACAGCTACAGACTCCAAGATTTAATAAAGTGGTTGAGAGGAAGAATAGGATACCCCAAGAGATGGCTAGAGCCATGTTACACTCTATGAGAGTCGTCCTCGAAACTTGTGGGCCAAGGCCATCAATACTAAATGCTACACATATGGTGAGGAAGATGATGTTGGTGAAACTTTTGAGAGTGAGGATCCTAGTCTAATAACTTTGGAGTGTCTACCCACATCTAGTGAAAAGTCTAGAGAAGAAGTGAGTGAGGAGCTAGGATTCATATCCAGTGATCAAAACATTCCTTCCCAGACTATAAATTATAGAATGTTCTTTACTGCCTCGAGCAGGAACGAAGAGCTTAGTATGGGAGACTGGTTGACTACCTCTTGGATATGTGTTTTGTCTGATGGAGAGTGGAAAGAACTTTATTCATTTATAGAGATGAGGATGACAAGTTTTGCTCAAATCTATGTGGAAGACATTATTGTTGGCTCCACTACAGACCAGTTTGCTCACTACTTCAAAGAGCAAACGAGACATGAATTTGCGATGAGCATAGTGTGTGTTGGTTGTCGTTCGTTCCAAAACAAATTGGTGAACTGAGCTCTTCTTGGGTCCCAATTTTAGACAAATGAAGGATGGGACTTTTCTATCTCAATCCACTCATGCAAAGAAGCTCATTAAGAAATTTGAAGCTTAGCAAGGACACTAACGGGAAATATGTTGATTCTAATCTCTTTAGGAGTATGCCTGATGGCTTGTTGTATCTTATTGTTAGTCAACTTGACATAGCCTTTAGTGTTGGATTGTGTGCTCATTACCAATCCTGTCCCAAGGAATCCCATAACAGAATCATACATTATGTGAAAGGGACTCTTGGTTTTGGCTTATGGTATCCCCAACACCAATCTTGATGCCTATCCAAATTTTGATTGGGCTGGCTACATAAAGAGCACACCTTATGGATGCTTCTATGTGTGGAACAACTTGGTAGCTTGGTTCCAAAAAGCAAATTTTTTTATACTCATTGCTGAGGTAGAGTACATAACTGTTTGACGCTCTTTTTATCAACAACAACAAAAAAATTATTACATAAAGATAAAGAAAGAATGTGGACCATTCACTCATCTAGAGTATTTTCTTGCATATCCAACTTTGATAAGATTATTGATTATCCAAATGCACCATTCTCAAATCCTCTTAATTTCATGAAGTGATTTGGAATGTAAATGTGCTACTTAAAGTTAAAAAAAATGATATAGATTGGCACATAAGAAACTAAATATCAATAAAATGGTTCATATCCACAGTGGTGTGTTAAGCATAGGAAGCATGAAGAGAATATTGATCAGTTACTTTTGTATTACGCATGGATTTGGTTCTATAATGAAGATTGTTTGATGGAGGAGGTGGATTGGATGTGACCTTCCTCGTGTTCAAATTCTATTAATTGATTTTAGGGAGTTTGACCTTGATACGAGAGCTCAAACTATGTCAAATGGCGTATTTTATGCGGTTCTTTAAATTATTAGTTGCAAAGGAATGCAAGAATCTTTTTAGGGAAGTATAGAGAACTTCTAGGATAAATTTATTTACTTATTTATTTATACAGATTGGAGAGCTTTGTGTGAGACGCAATTTCATCATCATTTTACTTTTCTTGGTGGACTTCTTGTCCTCCAAAACTCTTCTGTACAAAGCTATTGGGAGCTTTTGTATTAAATCACTTTGGATGAAATAGATACTCAAGGGTTATGCCATTGTTAAGGCCACTACGACTATGTTTTGTGACAACACAAGTGTGTCAATGTTTCTAAGAAACATGTTTAAAGAAAATAGATCTGATGTCACCTAAGAAGCACAGACACTAACGCTGACACAAATGTGGATGCGAATGCGAAAACTAGGACTGGCCTTGGCAGCAAGCCGGCAAAGGGGCTGCTTTAGGCTAAAAAATAGGGCCCCCATTTAGAAACAATCCTTATACTAAGGCTAAACACAATTGTTTTTGTTAGGTCTCGATTAAATGGAGGGCCCCAATTATTTTGATTTTATCTTACCAAAAGCCACCCAAGTCCAGCCCTCAACACCAAATCCAAAAGCAAAACTAATTTTTTTAATGGACACTCAATTATTTTGATTTTAACTTAACAAAACCCAACTAAGTGCAGTATTGGTTTGGGAATAGGCTATTTTAGTAACTTTTTGACTTTTTAGCTAAAATATGAGGTGAAAAAAACTAGCATGATTGGGATGATTTTTTGACTTTTTACAAAAAAAAAACATGTAAAAAGTAAAGAAAAAGAGAATCTTTGACCTTTTGTATAGTTCTTTAACTTTTTGACTTTTTTAGTAACTTTTTTGCTTTTTGACTGTTATAGTGCATTGCCAAACCAACCCTAAATACCAAACTTTTTATTAGTGGAGGGCCCAAAGTAATTGATTTTGACTTTACCAAACTTCTTTGTAACCCAATTTACCATTCTAAGATAGAATTTTTCCAGGTCTTGATATTCTCTCTAGAAGGTTGTAGTTCAATTGTTTGTCAACTTTGCTTGAAAATTGAAATCTCTAGAATTTGAATTGATTGTTGCTTCTTGGATTATGGATTGGATTGTTTATCTAATCATATTTCCTATAACGTAGAAGAATTAATTCAATATCAAGCAAGAACTCTTGATTCAATTTTACGATTAGAGGAGAACAGTAATGTTTAAGTGATGGTGCAGCTAGTTTAATTTTTTGATATTGTAACTCAATTTTATTTTTTATTTTTTTGTAATTTATTTTTATTGCTTTAACGATTAAAATATAAAACAAGACTAAATTTTATCATTTACAGTTATTGTAATAATTTCTTTTTTAAGCTGATTCTATCCTAAGTATGTAGAAATGTAGATGCCCCATATTAAGGGTTCACTAAGGCCCCTGAAAGCTCACACCGATTCTAACGGATACAGACACGGCAATTTCAAAAAAATGAAGACACAAACACGGCGGGACACAATAAATTATAATTTTTGATATATTTTTATTTGTTATTATGTAGATCAATATTACATCTACAAACAATCAAAATTAACAAAAACTAACACTAATTCAATATATATACACACTTTGAAGTTAACACTCACCGTTTATTAATTATTTAAATCTAAACAAAGAGTAATAAACGTTCAACATCTAGCATCCACCAAAAAAACTATAAAAAATGGGAAAAAAACAAGTTGCCTTGTCTTTAGTTCAATATGTCTCCAGTATATCCCCTGAAAACAAATTAATTAAATAAAGGGACATGCCATGTCTTCACCGTGTCCTCATGTCCCCACCTTGCCACATGTTCGACACCGCTACAGCACCCATTTTGGAGTGCCAATGCTTCATAGGATCTAGTGGAGAATGTTGCTATGTCCTCAAAGTTCATTGGCACAATGTCATCTAGCTGACCTAACCTTTTCACAAAACTTTTAGAATCTCTCATATTTGAATCTATTTGAAAGTCTATTATATCCATTGGATAATCAAACTAGTAGTTATTTTTACTTCTTTTTCTACAAATTAAAATAGTTATCGGATACTTTAATATGCAAGCCATAATAGATCCATCAAGTATAGAACTAGACAAAAGTTCAATCACTCTTTAGAGAAATGCTAGAGATCCATAACTTTAGACCTGAAGTGATGTGGCAAGGGAGTTGGATCCAATATGGTTGAGTATGTGATGAATCAAAAGTTAACACCTATCATGCCACATCATTGTGAGTCAAATTGGGGTAACTTTTTAGGGGTCTCAAATATTTTTCCACTTTTATTAGAATGTAACGAAGAGCTTCTTGTTTGTAACAAGATGAACTCATAATTCAAGTCAAGGGAGTGACTAATATGATAGAAAAGACGCATAATACCCATCACATGGTTGTTACAATAGATATTATACCTATGTTACATGGAACGTAGATCGTTCCAATACGTGGAACGGGAACGGGAATGGGAACGAGAACGAAAACGAGAACGAGAATGAGGTACGCTACATGCTCTAAAATATGGTATGATAAGGGTAGATTTGTATATATTACACCTCAGAATTTAAGGTACTTCTAGAGTAATTTTTTTTTTAACTATTAAGCATCCAAGAAAATGTTTTTTTTTTTTTTTCATGTAGCAAAATATTTTTATAAGCATTGTGACCCATTTTTTATGTTTTGTCTTGTCAAAACTAACCTCATCTTAGATTTTAGTTTAAATATTTAGTTTTTCTCTCCTAAGAAAAAATTGAAGGAAATATATTAGAAAAAACTTTTGAGATCGCTTTAGATCACTAGATTTACCATTTCGGATTGGAAGTGTACCATATTTTGGAACATTCGTACCAATACGTAATTCACCATGGTATTAATGTTTTTGGTAACATAGTATTACACCAGTTCAAAAGCATCTTCAATTTAGAACATATTTTTCTAGTAATTCAAATGTAAAAGAAGTTTTGTTACCTTCTTTTTTTCTTTGCTTACCCAAAACTGGCCATGTTAGTGATTGCTTTTTGTACACTCAGTGCTGGTTCAGAAAAGGATCATCTAATAGTGTGCCTTTGTGATTCTTGCCATGTGCTTCAATTCATGGGGCAGGGCTCAAGTCCCCTTCTCCCAATTTTAAAGTTTTGCTTAAGAGAGAGAGAGAGAGAGAGAGAGAGAGAGAGGAATGGTCAAGTTCATGAATTTACCTATACCATTTAACTTGGTCAACTACATTAACAATGACTTATTACGCTGTAATGATCAAAGCTGTCTCATTCACAGATTAGAGGGTAATATCTTTCTCTTCATACAAATTGGGTATCCTAGAGCCTTATATCCCCCAGTAAAATACTAGCTTTGAATACAATTATCATTAATCAGTCAACAAAAGACTAAATATTGTCCTTCTATCGATACATGGACAAGTTCAATAAGTTTTCCACAAGTTTGATACATTCTTCCAATCTTTCCCAATGGTTAAAAGTGACCCAAGAGAAGCATATATTACTTCTTCCCTTACAATTATAGCAAGCCATTTGCATGAATCAACTTTTTTCATGGTAGATTCAAAGCAGCAAAACAAAAAAGTTAATCCATTAGAAACACAAACTAGCTTTGGCTCCACAAGAAAAGGTATCAAAAAATAGAAGGGAAATAGTGTTTGTACCATATGTACTTTATAACTAAATGAGAAAATGGCATAACTTCATATTTTCTGAGTCATAACTAAAAAAAATGTCACAACTAAACACAACATGAGGCATAACTAGAAAACTTTTGATTCATAACTAAAGAAGAAAATTAATCATAACTAAATAAGAAAATAGCATAACTAATGGTACATATCGTACACCCCTTACAAGGGTGTGTATGTTAGAATTTCCCAAAAACAAATTAGAGGCTTCAATATATACTTACCTTCTCTAATGACATAATGGGGTGTTTGGCAAGAAAGTTTTTAGCCTTTTTTAGGCAAAAATTCACAAAAAATAAAATAGGCTAAAATAGCTAATAGGATAAAATGTAACATCAAACCCATAATCATTTTACTTTTTCTCTCACAAACATCACATCCAACTACAAAAAAATTCAATCATCTTCCCAAAGACAAAAATTTTAGCCTAATAAAATAGTTACTTCTCAAACACCCAAAATATATTCAACACAAATAAGAATTGCAGGCTTAAATATTTTACACACGAAAAAAAAAAAAATTAAAGGCTTCAATTCTTCTGTCAGAATCTGTGGACATAAAAACCGTGCAAGGCATCATTCATTTAAGTGCCCAGCCCCCCTTGGTATTTGGGTTGTACATGTATTTTTAGTATATATATACATACACACATGTATATATAGATATACATGTCAGCAAAGTCCTTGTTCATGGATATAAGAATCCTTTTTTGCCTCAAAATTCATGACACGACCTCCAAAGTGTAAAGGTTCTTGTATAGTTTTGGTAACACCACAGATGCACCATTGCATTTTTAGAGCATTCTCAGTCAGCCCCAAAATCAAATTGGCATAGAATTGTTTGAAATCAATAGTCAAATGTCTGGTGCAGCCACTGTACAAGTCTTAATCTTTATTCTCAAGAGGATGGCTGCTGATTGTCTTAAAAAAATAAAAGCAAATAAATTTTTAGGTTCTGGCACGACTCGTCAATGCTGAATATGCTAATTTACAATTTTGAAATTCATTGCTTATTGAATGAAACCATTAAAAATACAGTTTTCCTTGATACAATTAAAAAGGACAAGGGAAAAGAAATGGGGTAAAAATAAAAATTTAAAAAGAAAAAAAACAAATGCATCCGTTTGGTTACTAAGAAAACGGGAACGAGGGACGACAACCGGGACAGAAAATTGGGAAATTGACATTATAATTTCCAGAAAACAATCCCCTCAAGCAGTGGTATTCAGTTATCTGGCATGATCAAGCATCCAAATTCATAGAAATTAAATAGCACAACTGCCAAAAAACTTCAATTTTATTTTCTCTCTCTTACAAAACTTAATTAAACAGCCTTTACAGAAAACAAGGTCTACACAAACTACATAGAAAAACCCCTTAATTTGCAGATTCAAGGGAAGAATTAGATCGAAATTTCAAGGCACAAGAGAGAGAGAGAGGGGGATTGAGATTACCAGCATTGCCACAACCGACCATGAGGACGCGAGAAGAGGTGGGGAAGTACTTGCGGACGAAGGGGCCTAGGGCAGAGTAACGCTGGTACCAGTCGAAGGAACCGCCTTCCTGAATGTAACGAGCGTCCCAGTAGAGGGCGTCGCCGTAATTGTATGTGTTGCATGCCGACACGTCTCTGTACATGTTTGATTTGCTGGCGGCGATGGCGGCGGCCGCCTCTCTCTCTCTCTCTCTCTCTCTCTGTTGGCGTTTGCGTGTAGCAGTTTGTGGTTGGTGAGGGTGCATTCGGGTGTTCCTGTTTGGATTTTGGTTTTAGGGAGAGCTTCTATTTACAAAATCATTCCCCTCTTTACGCATCTTTTTTAATAAATAGATTTTCGAAAGTAACATTTCAAAAATAAATAATTTGTTCAGAAATAGAATTCTGAATTTTTTTTATTTTTTCGACATTCAACCTCTGAATGAATTTATTTAATGTCCACAATAATAATTTCACTTAAAAATAAAATTATAATAAAATCAAATATAATTATAAAAATACTTAATTATTTTTTTAAATATAAAAATTTTAATCTATTAAACTAACTTATTAAAACAACAACTTTCTAAACACTCATAATGAAGTGTGCGTGTGTTTTGTAGACTGAGGGTAGCTGAGATTCAATAGAGGCATTTTTTTATTGTATTTTGATAATCTGAACCGTTAATATTGTAAGGTTTATCGATTATATCATTCATATAAAAAGTTAAGTTAATCGGATACTTGTAACCCCATGATCAAGTCTTTATTGTTTTGAAAAAACTATTAAAATTGTGTTAATCATTTATTTTTTGAAAAACAAATGTACTATTATTGTAAAGCTACAGCTGTCCAATTTACTTGATTTTTTACATGAATAATCTATTCGATAAATTTTATAAATAACTCGAATCATCGAAAAAGACTCAAGACACGCCCAATAAGCCTCACAGTAGCCTATTTAAAGGCACAACAGAACCCAGCTCCGTGTTTTGTTTGGTTGTGGTCTACAACGGTAGCTCTAAAAGACTAATAAATATGAATATGAACCTAGAATTCTCAATAATCATCCTTCTAATTAAAGTTCGGCCCTAATGTCCAAGTTTGACCCAGCCTGTTGAATTTTGAGTTTTTTTTTATAAATATTCTATTAAAAAAAAAACAATTAGAGAATTGACCACTTTTCAAATTACTTAGAAAACTAACTTGATTTTTGAAATTATATTTTGAAAATGTGATTTTAAAATTGAAATTGCATTTTTAACAATTTCACTTGAAATCGCATATTGAAAATGCAATTTATGATGACATGGATTTCACTTTTTGAAATTACATTTTTAACACGCGATTTCAATGTGAAATTACATGTTAAAAATGTTATTTCAATTTTAAAATCACATTTTTAAAATGTGATTTCAAAAATTAAGTTAATTTCCCAAATAATTTAAAAAATGAATGAATTCTTTAAATTATTTTTTTTTTTAAGATTATTTAATAAAAAAAAACTCGTTGAATTTTTACCCGACTTACCCGACTTAAGCATATACCTAAATGTTGATGATTGATGCAGCCTTGAACAAGGCCTCGTTTAAAGTCTTTTGACTAATTTGTTAACATAGTAAAAAGTTAAAATATTCAATTAAATTATTTTTTATTTTTTTATATGTTTTTATTAAAAAGTCAAAAATTTTATTTTTTTATATGTTTTTATTAAAAAGTCAAAAAAAATAATTCAAATAGTCATTTTTCAAGATTTTGATTGGATCTAAATTTAAGTGTTGAAATTCAATCTGTGAAAGGCAGTCTGTCGGCCAACGCCATGCCCAAGCATGCAAAACTAACAAAAATAGAAAAAACAAAAAAAGAGAAGTGAAAAACAAAAAAAAACAAAAAACTAAGTCCGAACCATGACCAGTTGGCCTTAGTCCAGGTCTCAACTCAGTTAGCTTGTTTGGCCTAATTCATTGCGGCTAGGGCTGCAAAGGAACTAAATTAAGTCAAATTTTGCTAAGTTCGAGCTTGTTTATTGAGTTTAAACTCGACTTAATAACTAACTAGGTTGGAGCTTGACTCGGTTCAATAATTTATTATTATTGTTGTTTATATTATTTAGAAAAAAATTATTGACAAATTCAATCTAAAAGAGAGTATAAGGCATTAGTTACATGAGTATTTTTTTTTCTTAGTGAGAAATATTATAGTGAGAAGCATATGTTATTATTTTAGAGGACATTTTAGTTTTAATTTTATCCCTTAATCTATATGTTAAATTTTTTTATCTGTTTAATTTGTTTGACTATTTGTTTCAATTTTTTTATCTGCTTAATTTTTTTGACTATATGTTCAAATATTTTATCTATTTAATTTTTTTATTATCTGTTCAAATATTTTCTTATCTGTTAAATTTTTTTCTTATCTGTTGAATTTTTCTTATCTGTTAAAAAAAAATTAAAAATGGCAGACATATTGAGAACTAGAGATAGAAGACGAAAAGATAAAGAAGAACAGGAAGTGAAATTCATAGACAGACAGATCAAACAACCAAAATTTCGTTATCAAGTAGCAAATTCATAAACATACAAATCAAACCATTAAACCCAAGCTCAAGTAAAAGGAAAATATATCAGACAACAATAAATGGAAACCCACAAGTACCTCTTCAGCTCCGTCACCTTATCATTATCATCATCATCATCATCATCAACCACTGAGAGGGTAATTTATACCTAAATGGGTCGAGCTGGGTAAATAGGCCGTTCTTTGGGCCACAATAAGAAGGGCTGAATGAAAGAGAGCTTGTAGTTAGCCCGGTCCTAGTAAGCCTTATTGTTATCACGGTCCGAAAAAATCTTGAGGTTAGTCCGGTCTAAGAGAAGCTTTGAATATAGCCCGGTTGCCATACTCAAAGTTAGCCCGGTCATGGCTTATCATGGTTATCTCGGCCAGAGCCTTGTTGTTTGTTAGCTCGGTCTGATCACACCATGGTTAGCACTGGGAGAAACCGAGGTAAGAGCAATGAATGGAAGAGCAATGAATGGAAGAGCCGAACTAAAGGTAGCTCGGTCTAGTCTGCGGCTTAGCATAGCCATGCTTACCTCGGTCATATTGGAGTCCGACCATGGTAAAACCATCTCACTTGGTTTAAGCAGTGAGGAGGGTGTTGAAGGATAAGCATTATCTTCCAGGAGTATGACTCCTAGGAGGACTCTACATGGAAGAGTAAGAGTCCTACTAGGATTGTGCCACACGGAACCTATAAAAGCTCACAACATCACCTATGGAGAGGTAACATAACTTTGACTCTCGAATACACAGAGCTTTTTGTCTTTGTTTATTTTGCTGACTTAGGCATTGGAGAGGTATCCGGCACACACCCGCCGGCTAGCTCATATTTGTGTTTTCAAGGAGTAAAGCGACGACGTACGGAGGAGCGCATACTTGATCAACAGGATTATACGAGAAGGTTTATTTCTTTCCCGTACAATTGGTGCCGTCTGTGGGAAAATCAGACTAGAACAAAACCTCTTAATCAAGCTTTTTCCTCTTTAGAATCAATGGCGCACAACGAAGATTTATCACAGTCCGCCATTGATGGACAAACACCAGAAGGAGGTGGGAGACGCGAAAGTTTGCCTCCTGTCCCTCCCATGGCTGACTTGGAGCCCCAACGACATAACCCCAAGAGGGATGCTAGGGGGAGGCGAAATAACAGCCCCTGTCACTCTCATTCACAAAGTCCTGACAAACAAAGACGGAGGATTGATCCTCAAGTTTTGGAGGACCGTGTAAAGGAGCAGGACGAATTAATATGACGGATGGCGGCGGACATGGAGATTATGAAATGCTAGATGAAGGGAAAAGGAGTGGCGACAGGAGAGGGGCGCAAAAGCAAGATGTCCCCTCGCCGCTCAGAAGACCGTGGAAGGCATTCCATACCATCACAAGCCGAGAGTAGAAGCCTCAGGACAGGCGATACTCAATCTAGAACCTCCAGAACTCGTTACTCCAAGTCTGAGAGAACGAGATCATTGAGGTCTTACACTGAGGGAAGTACCTATTGACCCTCGCCCTCGCACCAGACATCATCCAGGCAGACGGAGTTGCCAAGATCATCCGATTTGCGGATCATGCTGGAAGAAAAGGCACGATGGAAGGAGGATACTAGGGCGCGCAACCCTCACAGGGTATCTGCCCTTCAACGGTTGGCTCCTCGGACACATGGAAGCGTCGAGGTCGGAATGTTGTCACCACGCCCTGCCTACGAACCAACGGACAAAGCATTAGCAAGGCTACAGACCTCGCCGTTCGTTCCAACAATTCAAAACGCGCCCCTACCTTCAGGCTTCCTCTAGCCCAAATTCACCACATACGAGGGGAAGACGAACCCCTATATACACCTAAGCCACTTTCGCCAGGTTATGGCGGTATATCGGCGAAACGAGGCTTTGATGTGCATCATCTTCCCATCAAGCCTCGGTGACCTAGGCTTGACTTGGTTCGAAAAACTTCCAGAAGGCAGCATAGCCTCCTGGGCACAATTGGCGGAGGCGTTCGTCACAAGGTTCAGAACGAACACCAAAACCCCGGTGGAGATTGACCAGTTACTCTCCATCGACATGGGCGAAAATGAGACACTAAAATCCTACAACAGTCGCTACTAGGAGACCTTCAACCAGATTGGGGACTACCCCACCAATCTCGCTATCGCACAATACAAAAGAGGCCTTCCAGTCGAACAGACTAAGGGACTCAATCACTATGACACCACCTCTCACGATGGAGGCCTTAATGGAGAGAATGCACCAACACATTCGGGTAGAAGAAGATGACGCCCGTGCTAAGGCAAAGTCTAGCACTACCGCAGTACTAGATAAAAAGACCGCGACAAAGGTCAATGCGGTAGAACATCCGAACAAAAACGGACGCGGCAGGCGAGACAACGGAGAGGACTAGGATAAAAGATGGTTAAGAATCCACACTGCCATAACCACGGTATTCAAGAAACCGATCTATCAGATTCTGAGTGAAATACACGATGAGCCTTTCGTTAGATGGCCAGCTAAGCTAAGAGAAGCACAGAAAGACTTCGACGAAAGATCGTGATGCACCTTCCACAAAGAAAAGGGGCACCGTACTGAAAATTGTATACCATTGAGATAGCATCTGGAGGAGTTGGTGGCAGCCGGTCACCTGGATAAATACATTGAAGGAGTGACACAACCAGCCCCCCAGGACCACAATAACC